TCCAGGCTGGGCGACACAGTGAGACTCCAACTCAAAAAAAAAAAATTTTGTCTATATAGAAAGACATTAAGATAGACGATTCCTAAAGTAACTTTAAGCTCAGAATGGAAAATATGTTATTTCTGAAACAAGAAATGAGGTATAAGGTTTTAACTTCTGGACTACAAACAACCCATTCACAGTTCTTCCAAGGGGCTGAGTTTGAAACTTGTTGATCTTTGAGGTTTCACCAGCTTTTCTGATGCTTTGGAGGACATTGACATGATTAAATTTAGCACCAAACACAAGCAGTCACTATTCACTTTCAAGGATCTACTGCTTGTGTTGCTGGGTGGGGTGCGGTGTGAAGCTCCATGGTTCTTTGGATAATAGATATGCTAACCATAATTAATTAATATGCTAACCATAAACTAAGGTGGGCTGATTACCATCTCTTCACCTTTGATTGGCTAATAGGGTGCTCTGCATTGGTAAATCCACATTCCAGATTGCTGGGGGGGAGGGGGTCAGGTCTGCTGTGCCCATAAAAAAGATGTCTGAATGCTTACCCTATTTTAATTTAAACTACCTACAAGAAACTTACCCATGTCTAACCTACGCTGAATAACCTGCCTCACTTGGAATGAATTTATCTTTAAGCTATGTGTTAAAAACTTTTATAAAGAGGAATACCTTCTCCGCAGTCACTGTAGCATGAAACACCTCTCGCTTGCCGTCTTGCGTCTCAGACTGGAAAGGCTTCAAGGCTTTCAGCACCATATTGGCAAAGGGGCCTTTCTGCAACCCTCCTTCTCTGTTAGATTCCTTCTGAGCCATCATCTGTTTCTGCTCAGGTTGAAGACAACAACAAAAGATACCATCTGTAAGTCAAGAAGGTATTACTGAGGGAACGTTGCTTCATTCACAGTATTAGACCTCGGAAGCCAGCCGAAGACAGTTGGAATCAAAGGAGGAAAGGCTAGGAAGAGAGATGAGACCTAGAATTCTCTAGAGAGAATGCAGAAGGAAGGTTTCCACTCCTGTGTTCAGATGAGACAGTGTAACAACAGGTTTTGGAGACAGGCTCCCAGAATCTGACTCCTTGCTTTCCCAAGAGTTCATCAGATCTCTGAAACATTGTGAGGGCAAAGGGGTAAACCTGATCTTGTCTTCTTCTGTTGATTTCATTAGAGACTAGCCTGTCCTTGCTTCTCCACCCAATATCCAATATTCATTTTACTCTAGCGTAAAAGTAAGGGAACTCAGTGACCAACACAGGGCTCCCCAGATTCCTAGGGAGGCCCCCTACACATAACAACAGTACAGATTAAGGTAATGTAAGTAAAAGGTTACCTGGGTCAGACAGCCTGCAAGTGAGTTAAAAGGAAAATGAAAAAAGAGAATTAATTTTGCTTTTATTAATGTATCCTTAAAAATAATGAGTCATGCACTAAAATTTCCATTAAAAAATTATATCCGTTGTTTGCAATTATAAAAATTGAAATTAAGTGTCCAAAAGAGGGTTTTATTGAAATAAAATATGGTATAGTCACATAATAGATTACTATGCAAATATTAAAAATGCTTTAGAGGAATAACATGATAAATTGTTATAATTGATTCAGTAAAGTTTAAGGTCCTAAACAGAATACAGACTATACAATGTGTTTCTTTTATTCTTTTCTTTTCTTTTTTTTTTTGAATCAGGTGTCTCACTCTGTCATCCAGGCTGAAGTGCAATAGCATAATCACAGCTCACTGAAACCTTGAACACCTGGGCTCCTGCAATCCTTCCCTTCAGCCTCCTGAGTAGCTAGGACTACAAGCACACGCAATCACACCCAGTTAATTTTTTTATTTTTGTAGAGACAAGGTCTTACTACAGTGCCCAGGCTAGACTTGAACTCCTGGGCTCAAGTGATCCTCCAACCTTGGCCTCTCAAAGTGCTGAAATTATAGCCACTGCACCTGGACTATGCAATATGTTTCTTATTGGATAAATGAACAATTAAGCCCCACACACAAATGCACTAGAGAGATATTTACTAATGTCAGATATGGTTTTCTTTGGATAATTGTATTATAGTAGATTTTATACTCTTTGTGTTTTCTGTTTTTCCAAATTAGCAGAGATAAGAGACTTTTCTGGTTTGTTTTGGGAAAAAATATCTCTTTTAAAAAACATATATCCCACCTACTCTTAGATGTTTCCGAAAAACAATAATGTATCACACATACATATATGTACTTGTGCTTGAGACAAAAAAGGGGAGTAATACAAGTGAAAAAACACATGTGAAATATTTAAAAGGGTATATGGGAGTTCCCTGTATTATTTTATCTGTGAGTTTGAATTTACTTCAAAATAAGAAGTGTAATTGCTTTAACAACAAAAAATAATAATAATAAGTAAACTAAAAAAAGAAATTTGTTGTCCAGAGCCAAAGGGAAATACAGGAGGGAAGGATGGAAGGAAGAAAGAGGAGTGGAGTGGAGGGGAGAGGGGAGGAGGAGAGGGGAGAGGGGAGGAGGAGAGGGGGGAAAAGGAAGGAAGGAAGGAAATTAGAAAGAGGTATAGAGGGTAATGTAGGAGTTTGTGCTTTGGCTCTCTGATGGGACCTGCAGCAGTAGTCCACAGCGGCCCCGAGGCACAATACAAAAGACTGTTTGGACCAATGCTGGAAAACGTCACCTCCACTGAGGTCCACTACAGAACTCTTCTTTTTGAGCCCAAGTGTCCTTAATTGGGTCTTCAAGACTAAATAATGCATGTCTTCTCTGCTGATAACTGAATCACATTACTCATCCCTGGATCTTATTTCCCTGACAAATCCAGAAGTTTTTGGGTCAAGCCCAACAGAAGGGGCTGCTGGAGACAAACAATGGAGTATATATGATCCGTTTCTACAGCTCACTGTGGGGTAAATCCAAGACCTATGCTCCATGCCCCCCCCGCCGCTGACGACTGCTCCCTGATAGGGAGCATGTGTACCCGGTCAAACTGTCCTTAAAGATGTGCACACCCTTGTACTCAAGGCAGTTACTAAGAGAGTAAATAAACATCTTTGCTTCTGCTTCTTTGCACGTAATGCTGTTTTGTGTCTTGCTCCCTTTCCCACACTGGGGGTATATAATCTCTCCCCCACGGCTCTTGGTAATGAAGAGACTCATTGCTATTAACTCATGATTGTCATAATGTTTGGTTGCTCAGGGTTACTGCCCTGCACCCACCCGCATTCCTTCATTATAAAACTGCTGACCCTCCCTGGAGCAATGAGTCACTGACCCCATTGTTGTATTCGCATAGTTAGTAAAAAAGATTGTTATTCATTTAATGATCAATAGTTATAAAGTTATAAATTCAATGATATGAACCTTGTAACCATAACTGATACACTTTTTTGTTTTGTTATACCCATTGGCTAATGATGTATCACAATGATGTTTTACTTTGTAGTAAGTTCCATTTATTCTTTTGCTTACAGTTACTGATAAACAAAAACTACAGTTTCCTGGTAATGGGTACCAAGAATATGCAAACAATGAGTGCTTGCTACAGATGAAACGCAATTGTCATTGGAATCTTATAGAAAGTTTTGTAACTTGCATAGTTTGATGTTAACCAATAGCAAACTCCAAAGCTATTGCTTATAAATATAGGTTGTAAAATCCAAGGAGCTGAGCTAGCCTTGGTATCTATAACTGGCTTATCTCCCTGAATTCCAAATTCAGAAATAAACTTATTTCCTCCCATTTCCCTGCCTCTCGGGTTTCAATGGCAAGCAAGAGAGAAGCTGTGTGTTCCACAGACCTTAGCATTGGGATGCAGAGAGCTTTGTACCGATCAGCCACCTTCGGTTAGTTCCTCCTATAAGTATTAATAAATTCATGTCTTTGCCAACCTGTCCTCTGGATGATTTCTTCAAAATAGGCAAACATTATGCAGGCACCCTCTCAATAGGTGTTTGATGAATCAGAGGCAATTTCTCTTTTTGTTACTCAGACATACTTTTCATATTATAACTTTGCTTTCCTTACTTGCATGCTGTGTGACAAAGACAGAGGGCCCCAGGGTGGGAAATGACAGAAACAGTGACTAGAGGGTGCTTATACAGAGACATAGGTCCCCACAATCACCCGTCCTACCTTAGTATTAGGAGAGACTGCTGGTGGGGCCTGTTGCCCCATGACATTTCTGATGGCTGCAGAGACAACAGGACTCAATTCAGCTTGACTCCTCTTCCTCAATAGACTTTTAAAAAACTGGTTTGTGTTTCTTATCAACTGATATTAGAAAAGACACAACCAATACACATATGAACACTGTAAAAACTCAAAAGTCACCTGATAAATGAATATTAAAACTATATCAACATATCATCAAGAATGGCTAGGCTTTTTCTTTTTTTTAATGAATATGATTTTTTTAAAAACTGTGAAGTGAAATTCTCAAATTGGTACACCACTTTGGAAAATAGTTTGGAATAGATTAACTAAAATAAAATATTTACTTACCTTTACATCCAGGAATTCCATTCACAGGTATACAGGCAGGAGAAGCACACGCATACACAAAGACGTATGTATAATACTCATAATATACATAAATCTTACTCATAATGGCCTCAAACGACTCAAACAATAATCAAGAGTAGATGCCCTCTCTCTATCTATAAGTTTATGTATACGTGTTTATGAAATTATCAGTTAATGGATATTATATAGTAGTAAAAGTGAATAAACTACTGCTACAAAGTACTAACATGAATGAAATTTTACTAACACCATTTCAAAAAGGGAAGAATTTATATATTGTGGTAACCCTAAATCTGAGGGGGCTTGTGCATAACATTTACCTATTCCAAAGAAGTCACCCAGAGCTCCAGCAGGGAGAAACACTGGTTTGTTAAACTTATGAGAAGGCACTGATGGCAGCAGGTCAGTGAGGAATTCGTGCCCCAGGACAGTACAGCAAACAGTTTTATCATTAAGCAAGTTAATTACTCAGATTCCTATACTGCTGGGCTGTTGGCTTACATCTGTAATCCCAGCACTTTGGGAGGCAGAGGTGAGAGGATTGCCTGAGCCCAGGGGTTCGAGACCATCCTGGACAACTTGGTGAGATCTTGTTCCCTACAATAAACCAAAAAATTAGCAGGGTGTGGTGGCAGGCATGCCTGTGGTTCTACCTCCTTAGAAGGCTGAGGCTGAAGGTTCGTCTGAACCCAGCAAGTGGAGGCTGCGGTGGCCGAGAGCATGCCACTGCACCATAGCCTGGGTGACAGAGTGAGACTCCAACTCAAAAAAAAAATTCCTATACAGTTTACAATCACATTGATTAAGAGTGACAACCAAGCCTGGCCTGGTGGCTCAAGCCTGTAATACCAGCACTTTGGGAGGCAGAGAAAAGAGGATTGCCTGAGCTCAGGGATTTGAGACCAGCCTGAGCAACATGACAAGACTTCATCTCTACAATGAATAAATTAAAAAATTAGCCGGGCATGGTGGCACATGCCCATGGTTCCAGCTACTTGGAAGGCTGAGGCAGAAGGATCTCCTGATCCCAGCAGGTCGAGGCTATGGTGCCATGAGCATGCCACTGCACTTCAGCCTGGGCAACAGAGACACTAACTCAAAAAAAAAAGGAGTGACAACTACATTATTTTTTAAGTTGCTTGATTACTTGTAATCCTTGATGGGTCACCTGCATCCCAAGACTTACTACTGGGAATATGCACATATCCTACAGAGATCAGCCTTGGTCAGAGGCTGATCCCTCGGGGAGAGACAGAAAGAAGCCAAATACAGGGGAAGAAAAGTGTATGTCCAGACAATTAGCTCATAAAGACAGACACAAGATAGTGAGTATTGTATAATCCCTTCTAGGTGCAAAGGCAGGCAAAACTCATGTGGTGTGAGAGTTCAAGTGCTTCCTCTAAGAATGAATCATAGAGGATGCACAAAAGGGACTTCCAGTCCCAATAAATTCCATTCAGAAGCCGTGATGGTGGTGTACCATGGCATATTTACTTCTTGACAACCTTTTGGGATCTACTCTTAAGATGTGTGAACATTCTGTGATGATAATATACAATAAAAAGTAATATATAGCTCTGCGAGGTAGCTCACTAATATAATTGCAGCACTTTGGGTGGCTGAGGCGAGAGGACTGCCTGAGCTCAGGGATTGGAGACCAACCTGGGTAACTTGGCTAGACCTTGTCTCTACAGTAATAACAACAACAACAACAACAACAATAATAATAATAATAAATTAGTCATGCATGGTGGAGCTTGGAAGGCTGAGGTGGAAGGATTGCCTGAACCCAGAAGATCGAGGCTGCACTAGCCCTGAGCATGCCACTATGCCTCAGCCTGGGTGACAGAGTAAGATTCTGACTGTTAAGGAAAATGGGGGTCGGTGGGCTGGTGCCATGGGAACAAAGTAAAGAATAGCAAAGAGAAAGCAAGAAGAGTTTACTCATATTCAGGACAGACTGAATGGGACCATGGTATGAAGTGTGGGGAGAGGGTGCATTTAAGGTGTTTACAGGGAAGCCAGACTAGAAAAAAAATTCCAGCAACCACATCCTTGGGAATTGATAACATAAGTCTTATGTCTTGATGTTGTCAGGGCAACACATCTTGTGACTTCTGCATGTGGCGGTTGGTGGGCTGTCACGAAAGCCTGATCACAATAGATCAGGCAACTCAGTTCTTATGGCTGATAAAACAAATACTTGGAATAGAGGGGTCATTAAAATAGAGCATGCTTGGGGGTTACAAACAATCATCAGTATTTGCCTCCAGGAAACCACTTCTGCCTTCTGTTAATGATTAGAGGGTTGGCTAAGTGATTTACCTAAGAAAGCATAACAGAGCTAAGCTATGGCCATAATGGCCATGCTGTAGCCCAAAGTTACTCCATGTTGGCACGTCACCTTTCACTGACTCAAAAAAAATAAAAAAAATACAAAAGGTTTTATATACACACACACACACAAACACACATGTGCATACGGATATTTATGTGTATAACATGTATGTATATGTATTATATATATATATGAATACACACACATATATATTTCTCTCAGTTAGCCTTAACTATTTAAGTGAAACCAAAATATCCTCTTTGACAAAGCCTACCCACTAGCCTTTCATCTCCAATCTATCACTAAGACGTGTCCCCCCAAATCTCTCTCAATTTAGTGTATTTCCATTCAATTAAAACGACCTGTATTTCCTCTTGACCCGAGGAAACAGTTATTCTCCCCATAGTTAAACGGGCCTCTTCAGATAGAATCCAGAGGGGCCACTTCAAACTGCAAATTGGGTGTTACTCTCATGCTAAGTATCTTTGATCACTTCTTATTTCTCTCAAGACAAAGACAGAATTCCAATCATGTTCCACAAGGTCTTGCACTGTCCTTCTCTTCAAGGGACTTCATGACAACGTTAGCTGATTTCTGTCCCCAGGCCACAGTGGCCTTCTCCCAGGTCCCCAAGCAAGGCAACAGCTGCTGCCACAGGGTGTTTCACATAGTGCTTCCCTCTGAGTGAAAACAACTTGAACTCCTTTCAGAGCTTGGCCCAAGGGTGGCTTCCATGAGGAAGACTCTTCTGGCCAACACCAGCTCTAACTCCTGACTTATGTTAGGGTTTCCTCGACACATGCCCTTGAAGAACCATCTTTATTTCCATCAGTGCTCGCATCTCAAGTTATAGTCATTAATTGGCTTTTAAGAAAATACATGCCTCTTATATGAGAGTATAAGCTCTACAAAATCTGGATTTGTAAAGTTCCTGTTTGATCACTAGAACAACCTAAAAGAGTTCCTTGTACCTGAAATATCTCATCTGAAAAACCTGTAATAGCTTGTAATGATTTGCTTGGAAACTGCTTGACATAAGTAACTCCATTTTGTAACAGATCTTCTATCTTAACCCAGAAATAACTCCCTTATGTAGCCTTCCCATAAGCACACCGCACACCCACATTCTTGTTCCCCTTGGTACTTGGAAACTCCCTAGTTACACAAATTCTGTAGCAATCTGTACCCCCTCGCAACCGAATGTTTTACCAAAAACATAAATCAAACTGTACAGCTTATATCCTTTATATCCTCCTTGCTCACTTTGTTCAAGGCCAAGAGCTTTTATGGCAATAGCCTGTCTTGGTCGCCAGCTTAAATAAAGGACTCATAATTCGACCCTCTCCGCATGTTGGCATCTCCTTTCTTGCTATCCGGCTATAACACACCTATTAGCAATTCAACATTTGTTTACTGAATGGATGAATGTATGGATGGGTGGATGCCATGCTGGCTCCTCACCAACGCCACCACCATGTAGCTGTATAATTTGGCTGGCTACCCCATGTCTATGGTCTGGTTATATTTTATTCTGTATAGCCAACTTCTGGACCTGATTTTTTTTTTTTTTTTTTTTTTTTTGAGTCGGAGTCTCACTCTGTTGCCCAGACTGGAGTGCAGTGGCCGCTCCCAGCCACTGCAGCCTCGTCCTGCTGGGCTCCAGCGATCCTTCCGCCTCAGCCTTCTGAGTAGCTGGAACTACAGGCATGCACTACCACGCCCGGCTAATTTTTGATTTATTGTAGAGATGAGGTCTCGCCAAGTTGCCCAGGTGGGTCTCGAACCCGCGGGCTCAGGCAATCCACTCACCTCAGCCTCCCAAACACAGGATTACAAGCTGAGCCACCGAGCCCAGCTGGACCTGATTTTTAAAGAGATTGTATAACAGGGTGGTCATGTTCAATTATTTAAGGCACTTTCAGGCAGAAGAGGGCATGAGAAATTATTAGGTGTCGTTTTTGACAGGACGTGAGCAGTTCATGACTGAAATAACAAGGCCATCGCTCTGATTGTATTAGAAAAAAAAGAATGATTTAATTAGAGGAGACTGAGCTGTCTTATGAGGTAGTGGGTTCTTGGTCATTACCCTTCAAAGAGAGGAAATTGGTTGACTCTCTGGCAAAATATTATAGAGAGATCTCAGCTCCAAAAGAAGTTAAACTAAACTTCCAGGGGTAAGTTAGTTCCATGAAGCTGGTTTCAGAGACCTATGCTGATAATGTCTCCTTTCCACATTGACAGGAGGGAAAACAGTCAAGGGAGACCAGGGGAATCGACATCCCATTCCACCACCTCACAGCAGCCATTTTCATCTCACGCATAGTGGTACCAATTTGTGAACGAGCCTATCCACCCACTAGAACTCTTTCATTTTCCTTAATAATCAGGAAAATAAGAATCTTCAACTTATTATTTCACTTACCATCTCCAACCTTCTATTTCAATCTTACAGGACTTACATTCTCTCTCAGCATTCCTAATTCCAAGTTTAAGTGTCCTCACACTTTTTCATCTCTCTTCCTATAAAAGCTTCTTCTGTCTGACAGCTATTGTCTCTGTCTTCATTAAAGATTTCTGTTTCAGTGCTGCATGTGGAAACTTAAAAAAAAAATGTCTACAGCTCTTCTCTGCCTTCTCTGAGGTGAAGCCATGGGTAGGACAGCAGAGAGCCCTCTGCACACAGACTTGCACTGGCTGTGGAGAAGGAGCATTTAACAAAGAATGAAAGATTAAGAGAATTTTAAAACAAGCAAAACAAAAACTGATTTCCTACATAATAAAGGTAGCATGGGGCACAAATAAAATTTCCTACATTTTAAGAAGTTCTAAGTAAGACTTAGGGATGAAATTTTAGAGCTGTTACACACACACACACACACACACACACACACACACACACACACACAAAACTAAATTAACCTGTTGTACAACGTGCAGAGCTGTCAGTCACTCCTGAGTTTTCAACCGGTTCCCAAACGGGATCATTTTTAACTAATCAGGATAATAAAATCCCCAAATCTTTAGAGCAGCAAAATGGGGGAAAGACTACAGCAGGGGAAACTTGGTGTTATCCTGGCCAAAGAAAATAATGAATATTGGACAAATAAATTAAGAGAAGAAAAAATTCTAAATATCTTCAGCCTGTGTTTGCCAGTGCTCCTCGCGATTCCCGTCTCTCGTCCACAATCAGAAAAACACAGGGTGGGCGGTTCCTTGAAAGCAATCATGTGTAGCTGCTGCCACCTCGTGGTTATGTCTAAGAACCACACCTTCTAATGTCTGCCTGGGAAAGTTAGATGCGTGACACAATCAGTCCTTTCTCTAGAGAAAAGCTAGGCACTGCTACCCAACAGGTTATGTCTATACAGAATGCTGTTCTTATAGCCTCACACGGCCTCGTTTGGCCTTCCTAGAAATCATGTGTGGAAGCCATATCATCTGTGTTGTACACACACACAAATACGACTTAAAAACTCTGGTGCTTTTTGCTGTTGAAGTTGTGCTTAGAATCCTAAAACTGTTGTATTTGGAGTCTCTCACGTGGAAGAGTCTTTGAGTGAGATGCTCCTTTGCTTGCTCTCTTTAGTCATTCAGACGCAAAGCCAGGACAGATCATTTGTTCTTAGGGAGCAAAACCAGATCTAGATACTTCAGATGGAGATGATAAGTGATTAACTGAATAAGGTAAAAAAAAAAAAAACCCAAATCTTTGCGTTGTGGGTAGTATATAGGGTCACTGGTACTGGAGAATAAAAGGAGAGAATTCGTGGATTAAAAAGAGAGGATCATTCGCGGAAGAAAGGACTGTCTGGGGCCTTCGCAGGCTGGGAACAAGGAGAGGAATGAATATGCTGGATGCAGGAACAAAGGCGCTTGGTATCCCAGTTGATGATTTTGTCGTGCTAGGATTCCCTCGTTTGATCTTGAAGCCCTCTGGATCGTGTGAGAGCATGACACACTGCGTAAACGGGGTTTTGAGAAGTTAACGCGGAAACCCTACGCCCCTGTTCTCTCAGTTGAACTGTTGACAAAGATGGGCAAAGAAAAACCTGATGGACAGCAGGTGGCAGCCCCAAGGACTGGAAAAGAGTCGCAAACACGTGCTGGAGGGGATCTGTGGAGTTTGTCACAAACGCTTCCTAGAAGGGATTCTCAGTCAAAGGGGGCGAGCAGGCTGGGGTGCCAAGCTAGCGGATGTCATGAAAGGAAAGGCGCGGGCTTGGCAGGGCGAGGACCAGGGCAGGTGCCCCTGCGCGCCCACGTCACCTGCCTCCTCCTCTTGCCGAAGACGGGTCATCCAGCCTCTGGAAAATGCGACCCGTCTTGGTCTCCGCAGGCACCACGCTGGCCATTCCAGTCCTCGGGCTGGCCGCCCCTGCCTTGATGGCGGTTTCCAGCGTGCCCCTGGTGACTCGGAGCTCACCTGGAAGAAAGGGCTTAAGCCTGCCCTGCTTCTGGTCAGTGATGTTCTCCAGGCCCGTGAGTAACAGGATTGCCTCATATACCTTCTCACGACTTTGGGATCAGCCTCTAAAGAACCCAAAATATATGAGATGACACCACCCCAGGTGATTCTATGGGCAAAATAAAGCAAAGGAAGTTGTCAGTGTCTTTTTAAAGGGAAAATAAACACAGTGTTGACAGTCCAGTAAAAAAGGTTTGGGTGGAAGATAAGAAAGAACTTAAGCAAGGTGGTCACTGCTCCTGGGAAAGACATCTTCAAAGAGTAGAGGATGCTTTTGCAATTCTTGGAGAACAGGATACATTCTCCTGCTATTTCTAAAACTGCTGTATTGAGGCACAGCTGACATTCGTTTCAGTGTACATATTTACAGCATACAATTTGATGCATTTTAGCATATGCAAATACTTGATGGAATGCATTTAATCGTTTTGTTCTTTCAAATCTCACATCTCAGGATTAGAAGATTTTCAAGAGAAAACATTTCCCTTTAGAAATGTTAAAGTTTGATCATTTTACACTTAGGTCTGTATTTTTTAAGTTATTTTATGTGTGATGTAAAGTATGATTCAAAGTAATTGTTTATCATGTGGATATGAATATTCCCAGAATCACGGGTTGAAAAAAGCATTTTTTCTTTAATGACTTTCTTTGACACCTTTGTCAAAAATCAGTTGTCCAAATACGAGTGGGGTCTATTTCCTGGATTCTTTATTCTGCCTATCAGTTTCTCTATCTTGTTGCCAGTACAACATTGTAGTAATAACCGTCTAGATATACAATATCCAGAATAATGAATAGAATATTCTTAATATTCAGTAACATTTCTAAATAGAAGATGCATTTCTTTATTTTAGCAACACTAAATAGAAGATGCATTCCTTTATTTTAGCAACACTCTAAGAGAAAAAATATTAAGTAAAAAAAGTATAATTTCCAATAACAAAACAACTACAAAATACTTAAGAACATCTAGTAAAAACTATTTAAGAATAGATTTTAAAGACCTAATTAAATGGGGGATATGCGTGATATTTAAATTAGAAGATTCATTAAAATGAAGATGGCAACGTTGTCAAATTAATTTATAAAATCCATCAGAATCTCAAGGGGTCTTTCGTAGAAACTACCAGGATGATCCTAAAACCTAGATGAAATAGTAAAGACAAAAGTTAGCAACACGAGTTGGAAAAATGCTTACAAGGAAACACTATCCTTGCCAGATATCAATATTTAGTATAAGGGTATAATAATTAAAGCAATATGTCAGTGGCATAAAGAAAATTAACTAATTGTGAGTGTGGAAGTAGAACCACATGTAAATCAAAGTATGGCATATAACCAAAACGACACTATAAATCACAGTGTTCAGAAAAATGACAGTCTATATGGGAAACAATATTGGATCATTATATCACATCATACATAAAATATATATCTGGTCACTTAAAGATCTAAATAGGAATAGTAATGTTGCTGAAGAGTGCACAGAATTTCTCATTGCATTGAGGTAGGAGAGGCTTTCTTAAAGAGGGCACAAAAAAACACAAGCCAGAAAAAAAACTTTGTCAAATTTGATTCCATGTGCATTCTAAATCTCTCTGTAGGAAACACGCACACACAAAGTAAACAAAGTGTAAAAATAAAAGGCAACAACTTGGAAGATATCTGCGATGTATGTAAATGAGAGAGGTTTTGATTTGAGTATATGGAAAACCGCATAGCAATGAGAAAGAGATAAATAGTCTATTTGAAAAGTGGGCAAAAGGTGTGACTAAGCAATTTACTAGAATGTCCAATAAACATATTAAAAGGTGTACGACACTACTAGTAATTAGCGACTTCCATAGCAGCAACATATGCTGTAGAAGAAATAACCAAAGAACAACAGAGCTGAGAAAAACTAATTATACATTTCAGAGTAGCTTGAATATCCTCTTAGTAGAGTCAATGTTAATAAACTGTATATTCTTACTGTCAAAATGCCCTTATTATTTTTTTCCTAGGCTGGTAA